AAAATAATATTTTTTGAATTTACTTATTTTTTATTTATTTATTTTTTTAATAAAAATTTTTAAAAACATATTTTCTATAAATGCACACCCTTTATAAATGCACGCTTATGCTTGGTCCCAAGGGGGGTGCATTTATAGAGAGTTGACTGTAAAAAGATTTTCAACGAAGAATAAGAATCTCTCGTCAAATAGAAGCGGAAGGCCGACTTTATGATATACAACAATTTCTCTTTTTGATGCTAGTAGATAGAAAAATAGTAGCCTAAAAAGGTCTTACCAATTCCTAGGTTTCCTGTGACACGCAATTTATGTAATGTCTTATCAAAGATAACTTCACACGAATGATAATAGCAATCGCGGATAAAATATAAGGTTTTGAATCCTCGGGATTCTCGAAATATAGAAAATTTCATAAACTTTCGCACATATCAAAAGTTTCGCATATTTTTATTCCGAAATTGAGTTTTATGTCGTTTAAACGTTCTGCGTATTTTTCATTATTATCATCTTTAAAACACCATAAGGAGGTTCTGTATATTAAAATATGAGAGCACAAGTTAGAACAACGACTATAAAAAGCTTAACATGATGTTCATCTTGTAAATATGCAGACACGTGATAAAGAACAAAAAAGGTTTAGTCACAATTACCAGAGGGTCTTTTGACGCGTTAACAATATAGCTCAGCTTACCGCTCATTTGAAATGCTTTGTTGACTACTTCTGGTGTGACTTCTGGAATTAATTTTTTATATATTTCAGCGAATTCTAGGAAAATAATATTAATTATAGACGGAGTTATTTGTGGGAGGAAAAAATGAATATAAAAATAAAATGAAAACCCGATATTCTGGAATCTTAATAAGTATTTATTATGAAATCTCACATAAATTACATAATATCTCTGGTTACAGTCTGATTCTAAAGCCCAACTGATTCTGACCAAAAATCATTTGTGTTTATTTCTGGATTATTTTATACGCAAACTTTAGTATATACAAATATTCACTTAAGCAAGCGAATAAAATGAATTAACAACAACTATAACTTACTGAATCATCGAATTCCGATTTCTTTTACAATTAATTTAGCTTTACATAAATCAATATAAGTATTTAGTGGTTTTATCCGATCATAATAATGTGATAATTTTAACTTATTATAATTATGTGGTGATATTATCATCTTTTAAAAATTTTTAAGTCGAGAAATATTCGGAAAAATTCACTTGCACTTAATTTCACAATTTTATTTGTATTTGATTGTGTTGATTGTTCATCTAAAGAATTAAATAATATCAAAATTTTTCAACAGTAGTGTTTTCTTTCGGACTGAACATCTTTCAGTAATACTTGTTTTGTAATAATTGCACTTAATCCATCAGCAATTTTGTTCATAGCACTCTAAATCATAAATAATTTGTTAATGTTCAATATAATATATGAATTATAATTTATTTACCAGTATACAGTAAATATTTACATGAAAATTTTCTCAAAGACTTTGCGTAATTTATATAGATAAGGAAAAAGTCATTTGTTCATCAACATAAAAGGAAGACGAACGATTAAAATCTCTCATATGAACAATAAACGTCACTCTTTTCATTTAGTGTGTATTGATGCGATATATTCTTCGTCTATCAAAACTTTTTGGATCAATAAAAGGAATTAATTCAAAATGTTTTGACTGTTGTTTAGTTGCTAGCTTTATAATACCTTGATGAATTAATATATTGCCAGTATGCTATTTTTACGTATATATAAAAAAGATATATAAAAAATTATAATTATAAAATAGCAAAATTCAAAATAAGTAAAATAAAAATATATTATCATGTAAGATTACCAAATCTTGATACACAATTCTTTCATGTAAATAAAATACAGCACAAGGCTACTAGTAATAAGTTGTATTTACTTCCCAATGTAAGCTTATTAAAATTTTTCTTTAAATTTTTAAGTGTATCACCAGCATATTCAATTACTAATCAATATTTTTTTTTCAAATGATCTTGATCATTTGATTTTCTAAATTATTTTTTTTAAAGAAAAAAAATAAATTTTTTTTCGATAAGCTTGCCATCTATGCGCGATGTTCAGGAGAAACGGTAGATAACTGCACGTATGTATTGAGAACTATCCATTGGAAATTTTAACATTAAAGGTTTCTTTAAATAAACAAATAACTGTACAAAAATTTATAATAATGCTACGTATTAATTAGTTGACAATAAGCGTTAAAGTAATTCATTCTGTAGTCTATACTCTTCTGAAGAATCGCAAGGCGAATGTTCAAGTTTGCTATATATTACAAAATGATATTGTCTAACAAATTTTGTCAGTATGAATTTACGTGGTTCTTCAAAAAAAATATAACTGCTGTATTCCCTCCCTGATTTGATAAATTAATTGATTTGTCCAATTCGAAATTTAATGCAACGATTAATATCAAAATTATTGTCCAATTCATAATGACGATCAGTTAAATATGACCGATCGTCATTACGAATTGGACAATAATTTTGATAATTTATCAACGCAAGCACAGTAACGATATTATCGTGTGATTTTATGATGTTGACTTTAAAATTATGAAGAGAAAATTCATCATTCTCTTGGCGATAAAATGCAATCCTACTAGATGCCTAGCATGTAATTTGAATTCGAGTGGTAGTATAATATATTCTTTTAAATAAAAATGGAGGATCCAATTTTATTAACCACGAAAAAAGGTACCTTTTTGTGTTATATAATTTAACAAATTTTTATTTTAGACGAATTATAATATGAAAACTTACTGGAAAGTAATCTTAACGAACCTATTTATATGTTCATAGAAGGTTCAATAAAAAAGCAAGATTTAATGCCTCCTCAATAAACAATTAATTATATGCTAAAAAAATTATATTTCTACTTTAATTGGTAATGTATCTTCGATTATTTTGATTATTTTTATTATCCTTAATTTTTTTGATGAAAGTACAACCATTAAATACTGCAACAATAAAATATATCCCTTTTGTCAACCACTTAGATACCAAATAAAAATAAAAAAATTATAGCTATAAATCTTTAATTAAAAAATAAAAAAAATTTAAAAACTTAAATTAAAAAAAATATTCGAAATTAAGCAAATAAATAAATTGGCGGAAGGTGGTAATTTTAGATGCCCTATTATACATAATTGAATTTAGTGTAAAAGATTAAATTATCTAAACACTTGCTACAATATGTTTTGAAATATTTATTAATTAGCCCCCTTATTCTTTAGCACCTAAAATAATATACTTTTACAGTTAGAAAAATATTCCATAATTACTATCTTTACGCTTATATTATTTATTATATTGAAAATAGAAACAATTTACTTGAAATTAATATATATAATAATAAGTATAATTTATTGTATTATTTATTTGCTTAAAATAAATTATCGTTATTATATAGCTAATTTTCATATAAACACCATGATATCACTAAAAATATTAAAAAACAAGATCGTTTACATCATACGGGTGAGCACGATAATACTAAATAAAGTTTTCTATAACTTTTAAAATATTGAGAAATTTCTTAAAGCTAATACATAAAGGATAAAATTACATTTAAAACTAATATTACAAGTCAAATATATTGTATTCATATTAAAGATGGGCATCGCAATTAAAAAATGGCGCAATTGAGTTGCAACTTGTGGCGCAATTAAATTTCCTTATGGCGCAATTAAGTTGCAACTCAATTGAAATTTGAAATAATTATGGGAACCATCTTTAGTTCACATCATCATATCGGTACATAATATGCTGAAGTTAAAAATAAATATAATAAACTTCAATTATTGACGTCTACCATTATAGATAAATCTATATTAGTTCATATTTAAATTACAATATAAATATCGATGTCATATTACCTCTTAATTGTAATGAGCTAGAAATTCCTAATTCAATTAGTTGAGAATCTTGAAATTCTGTTAAAATGAAATAAAAAAAGGAAAGTATATATGGGTGTGTTTCTAGGAAAATCAGGTTCCGAGAAATTTTTGACTAAAATTAAGAGCTTAATACATTTTAATCTAATAAAATCAAAAACTAAAATGCAATAAAAATCTCAATATTGTTAAAAAATTCCCAGAACCTGATATTCCTAGCAATCAACCCACATTACCTTCATTATTCTCATCCTTTTCAAGGTATGAAAGATAATAGACAAATGATAGGTTAGGTTTTGTCAATTTTTAAATGTAAATGCTCTACTTGTATATATAGCATCAGGGTTCGTTTTGCGTGAAATTGAAATATTTGGTATCTCTTTATCTGCCTCTTCAAATATTTCCTTTATTTCTTTTCCATAATATCCATATTCTTTTGTATTTTTATAATTCTCATTAAAAGATTAATACCAAAAGATCGATATGTCATACAATCCATCGCTCGTTGGTCTTTATCTGGGTTTGCATTCATATAATTTATATATTATGACTTGTGATATAAGTACATTTGGCCGGTATAGGTATCCGAACTTATTCATTTGTAAAGCAATACTAATGTGCGTAATCAATTTAGTAACCTAAGATAAATATGTTAGAAGACCGATAAATCTTTCAAATACTTGTAAAACTTACTAATTGTATAAAATTGATGAAGGATTTATAGTAGAACGAAGTAATCATTAAGAACTATACTGTATATTTAAACGATAAATCACAAATGTTTGAAATCATTTCACTTCACATGAAAGCGAAAGAAAATTGTTAAATATTAACCTAGAAAACACATACAATTGTTTATTTACTGTTAATAAATTCAATTACAGTGCATCTTTAACCATGTTTGAAAATTAATATTTAAAAACTTATATTTATTTATTAAAAATATTCACCATCATACAAAATACCAGTATTACTCAAACAATCCTCTAGAAGCTTGAATTACTTGAATAATACGTTAAAAGTAAGATGGGATGTTTTTTATGGCATATTTCAAATACAATATAAATATAAATAAAAGTAAAAATTAAATCCAAAAATCAACTTTAGTCAAATAAATAATATTGACATCAACATATTATTTATACGTACTATATCACTACGAAACTGTAATATAAATGACACAATTCAAATTCATTAGTTCATGTCTTTGAATAATAAATTCATATGAAATAAATACCAGTTTAAATATCATAAAAAGGAACATACTTTTGATTGAAATTAAGTATAGGTCTGTTTTAGTTTAAGAAAGTTAACTTTTATGGATAATAATAGTATAATTAATATAGTATAATTAGTTTGGTATAAATTAAAATCAACCAATAATAATACATTAAATAATTATATACATACTTTCAGTTGAAATATTATTGGCATCTATTTCCGTTCCCTCGGGATTTGAGTTAACTATTTCAAAATCCTTTTTTTCAGAATTTTCTAATACTACTTCTATAGTGTTTGACATTTTTTCTTCAATAATCATTTCATCAAGTTCTTTTAATACATTTCTAATACTTGGTCTTTTTTCGGGAGTTGAGTCCCAACACTTTTTATAAAGCTCTTCATAAAGCTTAGGGGTTTCTTTTACAGCATTTTCACGATGTCCTTCACATAGTTTGAGAATAAGTATTGCTTGATCATTTTGACTATCTAAATTTTTAAATGGAGGAACTCCGCTAGAAATTTCCCACATTATCACTCCATGACTATAAATATCTGATGCTTGTGTATATTGAGAATTTAAATCTGAAAGTTTTATTGGATCAACATACGGGATCCTACCAAAATTACCGATATGAATACTGGAATTTTGAGTATTCTTATTCATATTTTTTGAAATACCAAAATCTGTGATTTTAGCTTTATCATCATGAATAACTATGTTCTTAGAATGCTAATTAAATATTTTGATTAAATAAGAGCTCAATTTTAACTATCAAAAATCAAATAAAAACGAATACTTACAAGATCCCTATGTAGAATTTTTTCATTATGCAAATAATTTAATCCTTCAGCGATTTGTATTGCTAATTTTTTCTTATCATACCAAGTTAAATTTTCAAAATTTTTTTCGAGATAATTTTGAAGGTCACCACCATTTGCATATTGCATTATAAGGAGATAGTCTTTTGAATTAGGTTCTATTTAATGGATATAAATATGAATAACGAAAATGATTTTATTTAAAAATAGATTGTTTATCAAATTACCTTGACTAATGCCTAAGCAGCGTACAATTCGATCACTACAATCGAGTTGCAAATATATTTGTAATTCATGGATAAAAGCATCTAATTTACTGCCTTTAATGGATGCTATGTTAGTTAATTTTTTACAAGCAACAAAAGTATTTGTTTTAATCCAAGTTGCTTTCATAACACATCCGAAATTCCCGGCATCAAGTGGTTTAGGATTTTGTAATTCATTAAAAGGTATTAATCTAACTTTTTCATTATTTAAGGCATTCTCTATCCATTTACTCGCATTATCATTTGGAAGATTACCAATCTCTATATTAATTTCGGATGATTGTAATTGATCAGAAGTTAATTGATCAAGAGAAATAACAATTTCAAGCATATTTGGACGTTCGCATGGTTCATATTCCATACATTCTAAAAAAAGATAAATTAATATTTTTTAAAATAATAACTTTGTTATATTATTAATATTACTTACTTGCATATAAACTACTATATTCAAAAGGAGTACCAGGAATAATTTCTTCTTTTCTAATATTATCTTCAATATCGTCATAATATGGTCGACGTCCACTTGAAATTTGCCACATCAAAACTCCAATGCTATAAACATCGGATTTTTTATTTAATATATACTCTCGATTGTTTAAACTTTTGTATAAGGTTTAGATATTTTATTAATTTTTTTTGACAAACCGATATTTTTTAATTTGATATCTTTTTGATGTACAAATATATTCATCGCATTCTATTAAATAAAATATGTAAAATAAATCCTTTAATTACTAGTAATAAATCAATTAAAAATATTTATAAATTAATATATTACCAAATTGCAATGAATAATATCATTTTCATGTAAATGTGATACAGCACTTGCTAGTTGTACCGCCAAATTATATTTTTCATTCCAATCAAGAACATTAAAATTTTGCTTTAAATAAGAATTTAAGGTACCGCTATCAGCATATTCTAAAACTAAAGCGCATTCTTCATGAAAAATATAATGTTATTAAATGCAGAAAAAAATAATAAAAATATTTTTAATCAATATATATTTATATATATATATATTTATTTATTTATTACTTACCACCAATATTCAAACATGTAATTCCATAAAATTGTATAATATTTGGATTACAATTAATTTTTTTTTGTAATTTTAACTATAATTAAATAAAACTTCTTAATGATAAAAAGTACAATTTTAAAAATTACTAAATTTTTTTTAAAGTAAATGATCAATACCTCATTTTTAATATCTTCAATATTTTTACAATTAAATAATTTTAAAATAATAAAATTTTTTGTATATTTCCATTTTGCACGATAAATTGTTGTAAAAACACCAATATTTTGTTTATTTTTGAATACTGAATTGTTATAATTACGAATATTTTTTTCTTGTTTTAGAATTTCATTAAAACTTTTTTGAATAAAATTATTTTCATCTATATTTATAAATACTGAATTTTCATTGAAATTATAATTTAAATTTTTATTTAATTCTTTAAAATTTAATAAACGACTTGTATGATATGCTTGTGAATGAGATTTTATAACTATATTTTGTTTATATTTTAGCATTTTATCAGATTTATAAAATTCAATAATATTATTTTTGAATTTATTATTAAAATATTTACTTTTAAGATTTTTATACCAATTTTTAATAGTTTTTCTAATTATTAATGCTGTTGGTCTTTTTTGTAAATCCATATTCCAACATTGTTTCATTAAATCAATATAACATTGTGGTGTATCTTTAATAATTTCTGGACGTTTTCCTTTTTTACAAATATTTAAAGCAAGCTGAGAATCATGAGCTTCATTATCAAATGGACAAATTCCAGATGTAAATTCCCACATAATTATAGAAAAACTATATATATCACTAGCTTTAGTATAAGGTTTACCTTTTAAAATTTCAGGTGCTATAAATGGTAAAATACCATAAATATTATTTTTTTTAAAAGGTGATAAAAAATCGCTAATAGTTATAAATCCATCTTCATTAATTAATATATTACCATGATGAAAGTTACAATGAATTAAATCTTGTTTATGAATTTTAGTAAGTATACTAATAATTTTATATAATTTTAATAATTTTACTATCCAATTATCTTTAACTATATTTGGTAAATTATTTTTTAAACTACCATATTTTGCATAATTTATTACTATAATAAAATCTAAAGTATTTGGATCTTGAGTAAATCCATATATTTGAATAAGATTTTTATTTGTATTTTGATTTAATTTTTTATAACAATCATAATAATATTTCCACTAAAAATTAACATAAATTAATTTAATAAGATTAATTATTATAATTAAAATTAAATTATTAATTATTTATCTTATTTAGAAATTTATCATTTAATTCTGATAATTTATTAATACGTTTAAGAATTATATAACATTCACTATTTCTAATCCATCTTTTTTTCTCATTAGAGTAATATTTAATAAATCCATCTAACCAAATAGCTTTA